GCTCTCATTCACCAATATATATCAAAATCATGCTCTGATTAGCTTTTGCTTTTTACGACGGGGGACATTACAATTCTTGCTGCAATAATTGCAATTCATCCATGAAAACCCCAACATTTTTGCCCCCCTTTTTCCATAATCTTTCTGGCTATGATACTCATATTTTTATCAAGAAGTTTAATAACCCATTAGTATTATTCCTAACACGGAAGAAAGGTATACTTCATTCACTAAAAAAATCTCGAACCATTTTCAGATTCGTTTAAATTTATGTCATCTAGTTTGGATAAATTAATTAAAATAATCTATTTGAAAAGTTACACAATCATTTAAACGAGAAAAAAAAATTAGTATTGACGAGTATGAGAACGCCATGAAAGTGTTTACGGAATTTAGGTTAAAAAATTTAAGAGAATATTACTATCTCTACATAAAAACCGATGTTTTGTTACTGTCATTCCCAATCGAAAAACTTGTCTGGAAACTTATAGATTAGACCCCTGTTGGTATTTCAAAGCTCCATCTTTGTCATGGCAATGAGCCAAAATTTACCGCTTTCAAATACTGATATTGATGTTGAAAATATATCTGACACCTCAGACATTGGGTATATATGTGAAGCAGATCCCAGAGGAGTTGCACGATAGTCATTCCGACTTACCCCTAGTCCCTGAAAGCATGAGCCCTCCTAACTGGAAAGAAAAAAATTAACTACCTTATTATCTTTACATAAATATGTTCTTCATTGAAAAAGATGAAAACTTTTGTGCCGCACCATCTAATTGCTGACGTTTTAGATTTTCAGCTGTTGCAGCCTGAATGTTTTCCATTTCCTTTCTTAATTTTCGATCATCCGAAGATTCTGGATTAGTAACGAGCTGTTGAAGAGAAGTTATTCGGTAAATTTGGATGAAGAGATGGTACTGCATTAGGCTTTAATCTACAGGTAAAAGAAAATTAGAATATAATAAAATAAATTAAATAATATAAATTTTACTTAATTTTTAAATCGGCTTCTATGAGTTAGCCCGTTTTCTTATCATAGGCAGATGTAGTTCTAAGGTGCTGTTCCTCATTTAAATGTTTTTCACACACCTAAAAATAATTAAAAACAGGTTAAATCATGTTTAAATCTTTAAAGAAATTTCAAATTCCAAGAGAATATATATGGAAAAAAGGAAAACTACTAGCATAATGCTTACCTTGCTGTGTTTTGTAGGACTGGAATGCTCCCTTTTAATGGCGCGAATCCATTTTTCTCTCAATGCATTATTTTTAAGGAAGCTAAAAACACTTAAGGTCATTTTCGTAATTCCTTTGGCATGCCGGTAAACAACATGAATGAGGCATACTTTGTTTACAATTTTGTAATAATTAATAACATAATACTGATTTTTGATAAAAAAAATATCCAAATCAAAAGACTAGTAGGACTGACTAAAACAAACGAAGCAGAAAGTGTCAGATGTCGCGTGGAATGATCGAAGTATGGTGACGTCACGAGGGGTTGAAGATGCAGTTGGAAGCAGCAATTCTCATATATCGAAGGTCACAGTTCGGCAAATTGGTGGAACAAGAAACACTGCGTGACTACACGAAAACACTCGTATTTAAACGAATTTATGTAGCGGCGATTGCACAAAGATAATGAGTTATTTGTTTCAGTTTAAAAGCTATTAAGGATTTTTGACTGCTGAAATGATTTATATACTATATGGTTATTATTAATTATTATAATGATTTCATAAAATTATTGAGTTTACAATGTTTATTTTGTAAGAACTAGCTCTAAAGGATTTGGCGAGTGTTGGCAGGTCGACGGGATAATCTCAAAGTACCACTGTATTTTATATATTTAATAAATAATTTTGATACTTAGTATGTTTTGCGAGCAATTTAGTAAGCATTTGTTTTACACAAAAATATTAACACTAATTATATCCATATGTTAAGTTAATTTTAAAAATTAAATTTTTGTGCATTATATGTATCATTACCTATCAACTGTAAATTTATCTTGAAAAAATAAACGGTGCCCGCCATTCGACTGATTATTCTGGTATTTGCTCTTAGGAACAAAAAGGTTGGGGATCCCTGGTCCAACAGTTAGGTAAAAAATATCTACCAGTACAGTTTAAAATATCTAACTGCAATTGAAGCAATNAAAAAATATCCAAATCAAAAGACTAGTAGGACTGACTAAAACAAACGAAGCAGAAAGTGTCAGATGTCGCGTGGAATGATCGAAGTATGGTGACGTCACGAGGGGTTGAAGATGCAGCAATTCTCATATCCCGAAGGTCTCGGTTCGGCAAAATGGTGGAACAAGGAACACTGCGTAACTACACGAAAACACTCGTATTTAAAAGCTATTAAGGATTTTTGGCTGCTGAAATGATTTGCTATACTATACTATATGGTTATTATTAATTATTATTATGATTTCATAAAATTATTGAGTTTACAATATTTATTATGTAAAAACTAGCGCTAAAGGATTTGGCGAGTGTTGGCAGGTCGACGGGATAATCTCAAAGTACCACTGTATTTTATATATTTAATAAATAATTTTGATACTTTGTATGTTTTGCGAGCAATTTAGTAAGCATTTGTTTTACACAAAAATATTAATACTAATTATATTCATATGTTAATTTTAAAAATTAAATTTTTGTGCATTATATGTATCATTACCTATCAACTGTAAATTTATCTTGAAAAAATAAACGGTGCCCGCCATTCGACTGATTATTCTGGTATTTGCTCTTAGGAACAAAAAGGTTGGGGATCCCTGGTCCAACAGTTAGGTAAAAAATATCTACCAGTACAGTTTAAAATATCTAACTGCAATTGAAGCAATTTATCATCAACACTATTATCACAAAATAATGTTATATCAAATAATTCATTACTAGCTCTTGACGAAGATGTTTTTTTCATTTAAAGAAAGCAGCTACGATTGCTTATGCTAATGGTGCTTCAAAACATGTCACCAATAATAGCAAATTCTTCACTGATTTTGAAATTTTTGAATCCCCAAAAGGCATTACTGCAGCGGTAAGCTGAAGCACTTTAAAGATTATGACAAAAGCTAAAGGTGAAAGAACTTGAAGAAGTTTGGTTAGTCCCAGTTATTGAAAGAAATCTATTTTCAGTACTAGCAGCACAGGATAGAAACAAAAACAGTAAATTTGTATCAAAAACAGAAGAATGCCGGTTAAAAATTGGTAACAAAACTGTACTCTATGGTACAAGAAATGTAAGGTGGTTTGTATAAAGCATGTATGCAAGTTCTTATTTCAAACAATCGAGTGGAAGTGGGCTTAGTTACCACAAGTGATTCTATTCTGCAATTATATCATGAGCGCTGGGGATACCAAGACAAATGCCATGTAAAGAGCAAAGGGATCTGAAAGTCCCAAGAGTCTTCGAGAGCTTATCTCAACAGATGTCTGTGGACCTTTTGATCAATCATTTAAAAAGTATTTTGTAGTTTTTAAAGATCATTTTACTAAATTACGCTATGTATTTTATCTTCGTCAGAAATCAGAAGTTACCCAATCTCTTGAAAATATGTTAGCACATTCCAAAAATGTAGGACACACAATGAAGAAGATCTTCAGTGATAATGGATGAGAATTTGATAATGAAAATGTGAGAAGAATCTTGCATAAAGGTGGAGGAATTAGTCAATGACTAACAGCTCTTTATACGCCTCAGCAGAATGGCGGCAGTGAACGAGAGAATGAACAAAAATATTGCATGTACTATCACTATTTATGTTTGGCTAGTAATTTAAGTTTTTTTATATCCTTCAAAAAAGGATATATTAGTTTTTGTATTTATTTCATTCATTAATTATTTTTACTATTTACCACACCTATTTTTAACCACCACTTAAAGGTAAAAACAACAAACATTAATATTTGGTGATTTTGTACCAGGTGTGAACGAGGATCCCAATTCTAGACGTCGTGAGGGAAGGTTGTTTTATAACCCTAACTCGCAAGAAGCGATCCGACTTCTCTACGGGTTCTACAGGCTAAGAAGCAGACGGCAAAAGATTGACCAACTGCGTTCAACTTTTTGTTATTTAATTTGTTGATGACTCCTTAGGTTAGTATTGACTGACTCGTCGTGAAAACCTTAAGTCTACCATAGTTGCCCGGTGTTAACTAAGCCACCAGTCTGCGTTTCCTTTTCTTCGGGATTAGACCAGAGATATGGCTTCTCATCGTGAATTATTATCGACTGCTAAACCAACCAACAGAGTTCAGCCAGCCTATGGTTAATACCGAAATAGGATTCGTGGATTTAAACGGCGCAATTACTCGGCAATTAATAAAACCAGTAAAACGGAAAAACTGCTCTAAAAATAAGGTCCAGTCTACAAACGACGACAACACATAATAACGATTCTGATAATGCGATAACAGATATTGCTATCCCCTTTGATGATTTTGTCAATGAAGCAATAAATATCAAAAAAACAAGTAACCCATTATGAAGATTTCGGTCATAAAATCAACGACACAATGAATAAACTTAATGATTGTCACAGACAATTTAAACTAAGCCTCGAACAACACAGCAATAAGATAACTAATTTATCTAAGCTCAAACAGGAGCTCCAAAACGGCCCAGCAGCTCAAGTAATTGAATTTAACTCTGCTAATAAACATTTCTCTGACAAAGATCTTTCACCAATAAGCACCAATTATAATTTAGTAGCAATGAATGAGGAATTCTCCTCCCTCCCCACATATGGCACTAAAGAAAACTATAATGTCAATGCTAGGAGTAAAAGACAAAAAATCACTCCTTCCTCACCTGTTAGGAGCACCCTCTCAAACCAACTCACTGACAACCCAGAATCTCTACAAAAGAAGAAAATGTCCAAGATTCCCCCCATTGTCATCGAAGACGATAGTTTCGACTGGAGAGAATTCAACAAAATATTAAAGGATAAAAACATAGAAGATTACACCGCCAAAAACAATGGCGATTACTTCATCATCAAAACAAATAAGACGAAAAATCTTTGCCGCATAATAACTATACTAAAAGAAAAGAGTATTGCTCATCACACCTATAGCCTCACTGAGAGCGCACATTTAGAGTAGTCATAAAAGGTATTCCAAAATTTTTACCGGAGATCAAGTAAAAGAAGAAATAATAGAACAAGGCAATGTCCAAATTTTCAACATCTCCTAAAGTTCAGGTTGAATATCCACACCCATTTGATAGCAGAAGAACATTATTTTTTATTATTGATAGTGTTCATATAATTAAGTGTGTTCGGAACAATTGGCTAAATCAAAAAAGTTATAATTCTTGTATGTTTTATCCAGAATTTCAGGTAGATGTTACTAATGATAATGTAAAAAATGTACCATTAAAAACTGCTTCATTTCAAGCTTTACGTAAGTTACACGAATTTGAAAGGTCTAATTTGGTTAAATATGCACCCACTTTGATTGCAAAATCTCTTTTTCCTTCTAACATTGAAAGACCAAACGTAAAACTTGCTTTAAATATATTCAATAGCCAGTTAATTGGAGCTATAAGTTCACTTAAGGAAAAATGTAATATTTTAGATCTAAAATTAACAGCTGAATATATAGAAATTTTTGTAAATTGGTGGGATATTATGAATGTTAGAACAGTAACTAAAGGATTTCATAAAAGGAATGAATATCAAAAGCCCTTGAGATTAAACGATTTTTCTTTTAGATATTTAAGCGCATTTCTTGAGTGGTTATCACTATGGGGGAAAGCTATTTCTGATACTGGTAGATTAACCTCAGAAACTTATTTAGCTCTATCTGTAACAACTCAAGGCATACAAAAAATTTGTCGCTATTGCACTGAAGAGTTAGGTTTAAAATTTATACTGGCAGGTAAATTTCAAACTAATAGTTTAGAAACAAGATTCGGTAAATATAGACAATTAGCTGAGGCTTCAATCTACTTTGCCAATGATTTTAAAATCAAATGTTTTTGGCTATGTTAAAATAGATTTAAACAATATTGAGAACGAATCTGAATTTCTTAACAGTAATTTACTATGCAATAACAAATTTGAAATAAATGTAACAGAAGAGGATTTGCGACAATCTAATAGAATTATGCCAGTTATTGTTTACCTTGCTGGTTATGCCGTTCATTCAACATCAAAATTCCTTAAAAATTGCCCTTTTTGTAAGTTATTGTTAACAAGAGATGAAGAAATTCTTTATCATGAATATAACATTTTGATTCACCATCAAGATCGTGGTGGACTAAAATACCCTGTGGTGGAAGTTATAACTATTGGTTTGTACTCTTATGTAATTATTTCAAAACTATTAACTGAATTTGAAGAAAATTTTTTAAAAGTTCATAATCAGAGAATTATTTCTTTAAACATAATCAAAGCTGTATTGAATGACTAAGAGAAACACTTAAATTTTGATTATTGTGAAAGTGAACATTCTTCAGATGTTGTCATTCATTGTATTGTAAAGAAATTTGTAAACATCTTATTAAATAACTATTAGTCACCCTTTACGACATGCCGGGAATACGTTGGTGCAATTCTACCCCGGACACCACACGGAGACTTTAAGCTTTTTTTATTTTACATACTATTAGTTATATTTTTCTGTATATTCAAAAGTCCATCCTCATTATTAGATATAATTTAATTTTTGTGTCTAATATAAAGTTTTTTTATGTAGTGTTGGACTCAGCTAAAAACCGACACAAAGAGAAGGTTTCAGCGATACAAGACATATGCCAACGGAACTGGGGGAGGACAGCTCCCAAGCCCCTCAGTGCCCTTGATGAGAGGGTCCTTGCCCTAATGGGCCAGATGCTTTGAATGGGCTGCAAAATGTGTTTGAGAGTCGAGTCTTTCCTGAGGTAATTATCCTTAGTTTCGTGCACTATTAACTGTTGATATCAATAATTTTTTATTGCAGTTGGGAATTATTTTATACTTTTGTCTTTTTTTCTCGACATTACTATGTGTTTATAATAAGATATAAAGCCTATTTAAATTTTTATATTTTATCAGTATTGCAAGCATAAATCTGCTCTTTCAAATAGTATAATACTATCTTTAGTGGTATTTCAAGAAACTAGTGGCTGTGCATTCTTATATAGTTTGCTTCGCAAGCCAAGCTCGCTTCGTTAACTACTAACTTAGGTACATTGCAAATGCACAAAATTCTAAGAATTCAAAACAATCATTCAAATCCATATAACAACTTTTTTTAAACAATAAAATAATATCTCTTTTTAGTAAATACTAAGTCATTAAAATAAATTTGAATCCAAATAAATGACATGTAATTCGTTAAACCTATTAGAAATGTGCTATAGTATAAAATCTTAAAATAAAATTTCTAACACTGATATCTCCTTAAAAAGGTTAAAACTTCGGCTGTAATTATTAAAAATTGAAATAAGTGAATTGCAATGGAAAAACCTGCATAAACAAATAAATTCTAGTAAAACAAATAAATAGTTGATATAAATCAAAAATCGTCATATAAATTCGTAATGTATAAATTCGTGAAAAAAAAAAGCGCTATCGACAAACTACTCACTTCTGCTCTCTCTGGTTATTTCAGTTTCCGTTTTTAAAAGCACTATGTGTTAAGCCATCTCAGCTAGATTTGGCGTGTGACATTTTTAGCGGCAATCATTGGTCGATTTTCTAGCATTGCCATTTGGGGAGTTGTAATGAGGCTTTTTTTTGTCGTCGTGTAAGAGAAATATATATATATAGATGACTTATCTACATAAAAATGATTTTGTACTTGAAATGATTTATGTTATGGTTTTTTGACAGCTTATTTACGATATTTGAAGAGGAACATCTTTTACTTTGCGATTTGCCATGAACATTGTTATAAATGTAGCACGATTTCTTAATATTTCTTGAATTAAACATATACTGTCTTACAGTAAAATATTTTTGCTTGTTAACAAAAATAGATAGTTAACCATTGCCTCTTGCCCATAAGTAAATTTAATTTTAGAAATTTATTTTTCTTAAAATTTTTCTCTCAGTTTTCTATTTTTTTTTTTTTTTAACAGTGGAAATAAAATCTTTTAGCATAATTTGCCTCTTAAAAGTAGTCAAAAGTCACTACATTTTGTAAATAAATTGTAACTTCTACATTAAAAAAATAGTTTCCCAAAAATCGTAAAAGGGTAGTTTAAATGTGTTGAATAAAAAAATTTTCATTTCCTTTCAGTTCCAACTTGATAACAAGGCAGCGGACCACTTGCCACCGACATCTGCTTCCCCTCCAAGAGCGATCTCACCATTTGAGTTTATAATTCCTAATACGCCTCAATTTTCAGAAGGGGAGGCTGATGTATCTTTTACAAACTCTCAGGTGTTTACGACGCCAAACCTAAAAAGAGAAAATGATGCCACGAGCCAAAAGTCTGGTTTCCGAAGGAGGAAACGGTAAAAAATTGACAGATTAATGTCTCCTGACAAAGTGCAGCAAATCTTGTCTGCTCAAAGAGAAACAACGTCTGCACTTATGGACATTCAAGTGATTATGCGAGAGCAGAATGATATAGAAAAATGGAAGGCCGAGGAGCTAAAAGAACGAGATGAAATTGAGAGAAGGAAAGCCGATGCTTTTGAGAAAATCGCAGAAGTCTTGGCTTGTCGTTTTGCTTAAATTTTTTTGTTAAGTTTATGTTTAGTTTTTTTATATATATATCTTTTTTATATATATAATTTCATACTTGTATTTCCACTCTTTTTGTGTATTCGTATATTATTGAGGAAATATCTATTTTATATTTTTTGACATACAAGATAATGTTTGATACTTTTATATCAGGTTTGAAACAATTTCACTTAACGTTTTCTTTTATTGTTAGGAATTCGAAATTTTTTTATTTAAGAGTATAAATTTCTTGTAATTGTAAGTTTTATTTAACAAGATAACAGTTTTATTTTAAGTCTAGTGAACTTATGGACTGCATTTAAAAAAATTTTTATCTTTTATTTCTGGATAATCAACATAAAAAAGAAAATAATATAAACAAGTTGATAAAGAATAAATCAGTTACATTACAGTACACCAACTTAAGTCACAACAAAAGTATTACATTATATCTGGCGACAAAAAAGGTGGCTAAAAACAAATGCAAAACTGGTATTTCATCGTAGATTGGAAAAATAAACATCAAAGTTAAGATGTCAAATAATTAAGATTATTAGTTTTGAATTTTTTGTGAGAAATTTTAAAAAGTATAAATGCATTTTAAACAGCAAACATACATACAACTTTCTCTCTCACATTAGTTTCTCGTTGAACTAAATACCTCTAAAATTTGGAATTAAGTATCTGTTGAGAAATTTAAAANAATTTCAACTAGAATTTAATAAAAAAAAATGCATTTAACAGTAATAGAACAAAAAGTTATTTTAATTACGATAACATTTTCAACTGGGTCATACAGGAAAAGTTTCACAGGGAAAAAAATAAAGGTTTGTTATAATAAATTTAAAATAGTGTTTAAGATAATGTTCAAATTTCGACTCCGTGTAAAGTTTACAGAGGGAGGATCTCATTTTATCATTCAAAAACTCAGCGAAAAAACACTCGCTTTAAAATGGAGTTATGAGTTACCACATTACATTATTTGACCAAACACATGCTACCTTTTCGTAAAAGACAGCTTGCAGAAAAGTTCATTTTTTAATGGTTTTCAACAAGAGCAAGACATTAAATTTGAAAAAACATTGTGCAACCCATTTAATTTGAAAAAAATATTTTGATAACAAGCACAAAACCCTTATTTATAAAGATTCTTATCTTTTATTTCTGGATAAATCAGTTACATTACAGTACAACAACTTAAATCACAACAAAAATATTACATTATATCTGGCGACAAAAAAGGTGGCTAAAAACAAATGCAAAACTGGTATTTCATCGTAGATTGGAAAAATAAACATCAAAGTTAAGATGTCAGATAATTAAGATTATTAGTTATGAATTTTTTGTGAGAAATTTTAAAAATGCTTTTTAAACAGCAAACATACATACAACTTTCTCTCTCACATTAGTTTCTCGTTGAACTAAATACCTCTAAAATTTGGAATTAAGTATCTGTTGAGAAATTTAAAAAAATGTACAGTAGAACGCTGATTATCCAAACTGCTCAGGACTGAACATGGTTCGGATAATTGGAAGTTGTTTAAAATCTATTTAAAATGATTATAACTTCCCTTCACNTTTTTTTTTTTTTTTTTTTTTTTTTTTTTTTTTTTTTTTTTTTTTTTTTTTTTTTTTTTTTTAAGCATTTTTTTGTGTTAACAGCTCCTTAAGTTGTAAACATTCTGACAACTTTATCTCGAACATCGGCTTCTCGCTGCCCTGAATTTATCGGAACTCCAGTGTCAAAAGGCACATCAGATCCAGAGATGCTTCTCTCAATGACAATGTTCTCATTCATGCACATATTGTGCAGCACAGCACAGGCATTGATTATCTTCGCTGCTGTTTCAGGGGAGTAATTCAATACTCGGTGCTTCAAAAGGCACCGAAATCTGCTTTTGAGTGTGCCATTGCAACGCTCAACAGTCCCCCTACCAGAAACATGTCTCCTATTATA